ATCCTCTCAAGAGGAAGCTCACTTTGGAAACCCTAACCGAGGGTGGATCTCCAGCTTCGGTTCCATCGGTCTCATAGGAAGCTCACTTTGGGGATTTCGACTGAATTGCTAAAAAAAACCCTAGTTTACAGAACTTAGAATGGAGGATTAGTTGATTTTGGTAGTAATTTCCCTTAATTTGTGGTTTTCTTTGAATTTTTATTTGATTAGGTGATACAGAGCCACATCAGCATATTAAACACAGATTAAGCCCCCACGTGCAACACACGTGATGAGTTCTCGCCGGAACAGTGGCCGCCGACGAGAAAAAGGACCTAAATGGTAATTTTATTCAATTAAAATGTCTTATCGCCGAATTTCCTAATTAAAATACCTTGTTGGGAAATGGGGTTGAATTAAAATACCAATATGGGTATTTAGCCCATGAAAAAATGTACAAATTGAAAAACGAAGGAGGCATGTGTTTTAGAGACTATGAGCTTTCAATATGGTGATTTTAGCTAAACAAGGATGATGTTTGGTACAAGATCCACACTCCTTGTTTGCTAATGTGTATAAAGCTAGATATTACCCGTATGTGAGTTGTTTTCGATACCAACTTGAAATACACCCTCGTATGCATGATTAGAACCTCTTGAAGGAAAAAAGGTATTATCTAACAATACAAAGTGGAGAGTTGGCGATAATATTAATATATTTACAAATAGATAGCTTAGTATAGAGGGCGCATAATTGTGGGTGAAATCAACTCCGGTATTTATCACCCACTAGTACAAAAACGTACAACCTAGACAGAAAAAAAACGTCTAGGTTGTTGGGCTCTGATACCACTTGTTTTGCGCGGCGGAACAAGCTCAAACACCGAGAGAGAAAGCCAAAATCAATCCAAAATAACGGCACAAACTCAAACACAAAAATTTAACGTGATTCGGCAAATTGGCTACGTTCACGAGGCAAGAAGGGGATGGGTTTTCACTATAGAGAAAGAGAGTACAAAATAGAGATTACAAGATTACTCAACTAACCTCTCAAACAAATCTCTCAAATCTCACAAACTAAACCCTCAAACCAATTGCTGAGAAAAAACTATCTTTTCTGTGCTCAAAATCTCCTTCAAGCTACCCAAAAAATGATCAATATGATCCAATAAACCCTAAACAAATCGTGTTCCTATTTATATAAACAAGAAACCCAAACAGAACAGTAAACCAAGCCCAGGCCCAAAACTGCATCGGGGTCGACAGTGGCCAACGACAGAGAACAAAAATGTACTACAGGGTATCGCAGTCGACCGTAAATCCACGCACGGTCGATCGTGAAAAGTCCAGAGACTTTTTCATGCTATGTGCACGATCGCGGTCGACCGTAGCGCCACTCGCGGTTGACCGTGAAACATCCAAAATGTTTTTTGCTTTAATTTTCCTGAGCTTCGTCGTCTTCTTCTCCAATTCTATAATTCTCCACCTCGGCGAAGTTTTCCCAAAACTAAGCCGACACCAACACCAAACAAATGTCTCACTTATTGCATCCAGTATGAAGTAAAACAAATCATAACAATGGACTCAATCCATAACAAGTCAAAACCCAAATGAGAATGCGAAAAAGCTCCAAAACGTCGGTATCAACCCATCAAATCGGCTGCATCAAAACTGACTACCTACGTATCCTATTGCCAAAGGAATCAAGTCTTCAGGTAGTTTTCCAAATGACCTTCAAATGTCCTCAATCAAATAGAAAAGTTCTTAAATCTTCACCAACAAATATACGGCTGATAGTTCTCCAAATGGCCCCAAAGTGAAATAAATCAAACACCTCCACCTGAGGTGAACCAATGGCCGTATCCAAATCATATCCACCAGCTATAATCAAATCAACCAACTCATCATCTGCATCCAAATCTAAATGATGCAGTATGATCTGAAGTATGTGGAGTAATCTCCACCTAATATGTAGTAGCATCACTCTCCACCCACTGTGATACATCTAAGGTCTGTCCAAAACTCTCCACCTGCTGATCACTAAGCTCCCTCATCGAAGCCTCAACCGAAGTGACACTACCATACCAAACATTAAATGGAGTTTTACCTCCAATCGCAGCAGTCGGTAACCCTTTAATAAGGTGACACGAATATGTCAAAGCCTCAGTCCAGAAACTCTTCTGCAAACCATTGCTTGACCACAAACACCGATCCTCCTCTAGCAAAGCATGGTTCTCCAAATTTGCCATCCCATCTAGTTTCCCCAAGATTTCATTTCCAACAAAGTATCTCAAAATGTCGTGAGCTCGGCTCAAATGCAAAAATAGGTCCCTCTTGTACCTCCAACCAAAATCGGAATAAAGTACCTTCACCTTTCTACCAATCTCACACTTCTTCAATCTGTTGGAGACTACTAGGATTTTATCCAATCAGGATTTGGTTGCAACCCAAGCATGCCTAGAACAGCCACTAACAAAGTAAACCAAACATCTATTACTTCCCCATAATGCCTCCTTGGAAGGCCGCCAAACATTCACATGAACTCCATCTGAAAGACTCTCCGTGCGGTGAATAGAGGTACCAAACTTCACATCGGTCTTCTTGCTCACATCAAAGTGTTCACTGAACTTCAAATTGTTGGTTTGTACACTCATCTCCAAATCAATACTGGAATGACAATGCCCCAAATACCGCAGTCTAGTCGAATCAACAGAAGTCGCCAGCTCTCCACCTGTCACCGAACTTCTAATCAAATAGAACATGTTATTCCTCCTGACGTCCTTCATCACAATCAAAGAGTCTTCCATGATCTCGAAAACCATGTCCTCAACACGAACCTTCTGACCCTCTCCAACTAAAACCCCAATCAAGATCAAGTTCTTCCTCAAAGAAGGAACATATCTCACATCATGTAACTCTCTAACTGCAGGATGCCCTACTCTAGACTGTGACTTCCAATTCTTTCGGTTTGGATTCTTCTCTCTTGTGACCAATGCCTCTGCTACAGACTTAATTGAAGTCTCCTTATCCTTCTTTCGAAGCTGATAATTTACAAGTACAGCGGTGATCTCACTATATGAAAGAGATGTCTTTCTATTAATAAGAGTAAGGACGAAGGTCTCATATTCCTCGTCAGGTAAGGAACTCAACAACAACAACGTCTTATCCTCATCTTCTATCATAACATCCACATTCGCCAAATCCGGAAGAAGCTTCGTGTAGTGGTTCATGTGATCACCAATGGAGGTTCCCTTCTTCAATTGGAAGCGATAAAGCTTCATCTTCAAAGGCAAGCGATTTTTCACACTTTTGGTCATATACTTGCTCTCAAGGGTCTCCCAAATCTTCTTAGCCGAAGTCTCATTCATCACATTATACTTTAAATCTTAAGTCAAACAAGACCTAATCACACCATACGCTGTCCGATTCATCTTCTTCTAAACGTTCTCTTTAATATCATCTGGTTTGCCATCCAATTCCAAAGTATCCTCTAAATTTTACGCATTCAGCGCATCCAATACCTCACATCACCATAATCCAAAATTGTTCGTGCCATTAAACTTCTCCACATCTATCTTCATAGAGTGGATATTCAAATTTTGAATGGTCTTCACGCTAGAAGCACCACCCTCAATACCCGAAGTACCTTCTTTCCCAGTCATCTTCCTCAACACACCAATAAACAACACGAAACAAACTAAAGAATAGATCAAAAACTGATAAAAGATAGAATTTTTACCAAATAGATCCCATCTTTATCTCCAAACGAAACCCTAGACGAGCCTTCAAAATGATCTACTCCTCAAAATAGCCCAAGCGTAGCCCGATCTCTGATACCACTTGTTAGGCTCTGATACCACTTGTTGTGCACGGCGGAACAAGCTCAAATACCAAGAGAGAAAACCAAAAAACAATCCAAAATAACAGCACAAACTCTAACATAAAAGTTTAACGTAGTTCGGCAAATTGCCTACGTCCACGGGGCAAAATGCGGAAGGGTTTTCACTATAGAAAAAGAGAGTACAACATAGAGATTACAAGATCACTCAACTAACCTCTAAAACAAATCTCTTAAATCTTACAAACTAAACCCTCAAACAAATTGCTCAGAAAAAAACTTTCTTTTTGTGCTCAAAATCTCCTTCAAGCTACCCCAAAAGTGATAAATATGATCCAATAAACCCTAAACAAATCGTGTTCCTATTTATATAAACAGGAAACTCAAACAGAATAGGAAACCAAGCCTAGGCCCAAAACCGCATCGCGGTCGACCGTCAAGCCAGTCGCTGTCGACCATGGTCAACAACAGAGAACAAAAATACACTACATGGTATCACGGTCGACCATGAATCCATGCGCAGTCGACTGTGAAAAGTCCAGAGACTTTTCCAGGCTATGTGCAAGTTCGCGGTCGACCGTGAAACATCCAAAATATTTTTGCTTCAATTTTCCTGAGCTTCGTCGCCTTCGCCTCCAATTCTACATAGGTTGCACAGATTTCTGTCTAGGTTGATCAACCTAGACGAAAATCTATCTAGAAAAATGCGTCTAGGATATTTCTGTCTAGTTTGAGGCAAACAAGACATAAATCCTTCTAGGTTGCTCAAATTAGACGGAAAGTAATCTAGACGGACATGAAATTCCATCTAGGTTGTTGAATTCTGTCGAGGTTAATTATAGCAACCTAGACGGAATTTCCATCTAGGTTGACTTAACCTAGATGGAAATTCCGTCTATGTTGTTCTTTTTTCCGCAAAAAAAATCCTTCTAAAACGTTCATTCCCTGTACATTACATTACATTCACGATATACACATAAGTACATGATTCATGTATATTTAATATACACACCAATCCAATATAATCAATATTCATATCCAATACACACATCCAACAATCCAATCAAAAATACACATCCAACAGTCGAATCCAATTTACACATTCAACTATCTACATCAATATCCATTTTAGTAAAAACTTATATTATCTGAATATTTACAACATATACACTAGCAATACCAAGTTCATCCATAACACGAGATGAATAATATAAAGTACACGACATGAATAAAAGTAGAGTACTATTACAAATATAAAACTGTTCGTTGTATTAAAAATACAAAAACCTCACATCTCGTCGTCGTCGGCAGCGTCTCTATCCCTCGCACGAAAACGGGTGTTGCTCCCTCCAATGCCTCTAGTCTGAAGGTCCAATTGATTACATTTTAGAATTATGTGAAGTTTGATAATATATTAAACAAAAATGATTTTTAAATATACTAGTCTCTTTTTAAACAGTCAAAACCCAAATGAAAACTGAAAAACAGAAACCCAGAAAAGGACTTTTGAAATATATATAGCATCTTACTTGAGTTTCTAACATTGATAACAACATAAACCTGTATGGAAAAAACATCCTCAAGCTCGTAGAGCATATAACAGGTCAATATACTCAATTAGAGCATACAATGGATAATTAGATGATTAGATGTGTAAGTTATTTGAGTTCTGCACCAAACAAGAGGCACCAAGGACATACAAGATTAAACAGAGAAGAAATAAATACCTGAGGCCGAATGATGCGATCCATCTCTAGCATTATACCTTCTACCGAGCAACTTTCTTCGCGGCCCTTGTAGTTAGAGAAAAGATGAAAAACATGCAACAGATCATACGTAATTCGTGGGTAAGTTGAGAAAGGCTCACACCTGTAATGGGTTAGAAGTAAATTGTCCATTTCAAATTAAAGATAAGGAAACCATTATTTGGCAATATAGGTAGATCAATAACATCTCACCGGTCATGGAAAGGACCAATTAATCTGCGATCGTATATTGCAGCCAAGGTGTTGCTTGCAGTTGTTGGAACTATGTTCATAACCCAAATGGGCAAATTACTCAATGCCACTGAAAATCCCCCATAATAAGCATTCATGTCACGTTTCGTACCTCCATCTTATTGACACCTATCAGTCTCCAATAGTGACTGACTTGTTCTTGCCAAAAAGCATTATTACGATCAAATCGCTCCGGAGTAACCCTTACTGACAAGAAACATAAAGTACAAGATTTCTGGGCATTTATGCATACATAATGGACAAGTAACATAATGGCCTGTTTGGTTCACCAAGGACTAGGAATAGGATTAGGAATCCTATTTAATTTATGGATTCCAATCTAATCCATAAAAATTTTATAGACAAGTTTGAGTTTTATGGAATCCCACTTTTTTTGGCTTTTAATGTTTGTTTCACCCAAAGGATTAGTAATCCCACTTTTAGTAGAATTGTTCCAATTCCTAATACCATGTTTGGTTCAAGGAGTCAATTTTTCTTGGGATCGTTACTGTAGCAACGGCCATCTCAATTTTCATTTAATAAATACTGTAGCAACTGATTTAAGCCCCCAAATCATATTTCCAGCAGCAAACACCGTAACAACATTTACATATCACTGTAGCAATGGAAATAAGCCCAAAAATACAGATTTTCAAGCATCAAACACTGTAGCAACGGATGAAAGCCTCCAAATTCATATTTCCAGCAGCAGACACTGTAACAACATTTACATTTCACTGTAGCAATGATAATAAGTCCCAAAAACCAGATTTTCAAGCATCAAACACTGTAGCAACGGCTGTTTCTTAGGAATCACTGTAGCAACGGCTATTTCAGGGGTATGGTGTCTATAAATACACCTTGAGGCCTCACATATAATCCCATCTTTCTCATTTTTCAACACCAAAAAAATTCCCAAGCTCTTCAATTTGCTGCAGGATGATATCAGAAGGGTGCTGGCAGAATTATGAAGTTTATTGCGACTGCAATCTCCGAACACCGATGAAAGTGTGCAAGAATGGAAAAAATAAGGATAGGTGTTATTGGGGGTGTGCAAAATTCCCAAATAAAGAATGCAATTTTTTCGAATGGGCTGAAGAAAGAGGAGAGTCATCAAGCACCCAAGGAAGCCAATATGTCAAAGAAAATAGGTACGGAGATAAATATATCTTGCAATCAAAGAAGCTGAAGAAAGAATTGAGACTTGTCGAAAATCAACTACTAGCTTGGAAAATTTCTGCAATTTTCTTAGCAATTTTTTGTGTTATTTTAATTATTACAAACTTCATGTCATGTACTTGTAATTGCAAAAACTATTGAGGATGTAATGAAAACTGTTGTTTGAATTGGGTACAAATTCTAATTGATATTGTATGGCTCAGTAATAGATCAACTTGTCATCATTGATTGCCCCACCTATAACTTACATGTTTATTACAGATTGCATTATAAGGATGAATTGCCTCGCCTAGACATTGTCAATTCAATGTAGGATGCAATCTCATCCCCTCTTACCTCATCTGGATATAATAAACGATATAAGTTAGACTGCATTCTCAGTAAACGCTGATCATCATCATTGCCAAATATCAAGTGCAAGGAGCTACACAAGCTGAAAACCAAACCGCAAATTAATCCACAGGCAAGGAAAACCAAAACAGCTCCCACAAAGCAGCAATCCCCATTACAGGAGCTACACAACTACACAAGCTCAGAACAAAAAAGCAACAAACCCAGCAGCAAGGAGGTAGACAACCTACAACGAAAACAACAACAAACCCAAGTCACAGGAGCTACACAAGCTCTGAACAAAACAGAAACAAACCCAGGGGTCAAGAGCTACACAAGCTCAGAACAAAAAAGCAACAACCCCAGCAGCAAGGAGGTAGACAACCTATAACGAAAACAGCAACAAACCCAAGTCACAGGAGCTACACAAGCTCAAAACCAAACCGCAAATTAATCCACAGGCAAGGAAAACCAAAACAGCTCCCACAAAGCAGCAATCCCCATCAAAAAAGCAACAAACCCAACAGCAATTAGGTAGACAACCCACAACGAAAACAGCAGCAAACCCCTGATCTTTTGAGCTACACAAGCTCATAACAAAACAGCTCATAACAAAACAGCAAGGAGCTACACAAGCTCTGAACAAAACAGAAACAAACCCATCGACAGGAGCTACACAAGCTCATAAGAAAACAGACTCAAACCAACCCAGACAGGAGCTACACAAGCTCTGGACAAAACAGAAACAAACCCAGGGGTCAAGAGCTACACAAGCTCAGAAGAAAAAAGTAACAAACCCAACAGCAAGGAGGTAGACAACCTACAACGAAAACAGCAACAAACCCAACTCACAGGATTGGACCCAAGCTCAGCACAAAACAGGCACAAACCCACCCAGCAAGGAGCTACACAAGCTCTGAACAAAACAGAAACAAACCCAAGGGTCAAGAGCTACACAAGCTCCGAACAAAACAGAAACAAACCCAGGGGTCAAGAGCTACACAAGCTCTGAACAAAACAGAAACAAACCCAAGCAACAGAACTACACAAGCTCTGAACAAAACAGAAACAAACCCAGGGGTCAAGAGCTACACAAGCTCAGAAGAAAAAAGCAACAAACCCAACAGCAAGGAGGTAAAACCCAAGTGCACTTACCCATTTACCTGATATCAAAAGCAATATTGGATAATTCAAAGAACTCATTGATCATTCCACGACCATACTTACCTGCACCAAATCATAAAGTATATATTACAAATCATCATTCCCACAAAATATATATTGCAACATTAACAGTTTGCAATTAACACAACAATATCCATCAAAATATAATGGTATCCAACAAACTAGCTATCCGACCAACCTTGGTCGTTAACTAATTTGGTGATGTACCTCTGTTGACCTTCCTTGGATTTTATGAAAAACCTCCTAGCTTCTTCAACGCTTCAGCCAACTGCTCAGTCCAGTGAATAACGTGTTGATTTCTCATTGACTGAGTGTTCGCGGTGAAAATTGCCTTCATTGAATTCATTGTTATCTCAAGTAATTGCTTTTTGGTTACAAAAGATCCGGTCTTTTTTAGATCCGGTTACAACGAAATCAAAGAAAAAATAAAAATTACAACTTTCCTTCAGAACGAATCGCGAGCTCCTGTTTTGCGGTCGCTCGCTTGTGTGGGTTCTTTGCCAACGCCGGGGTTAATCCGTGGACCACCGCGCGATCTAGATCCGGTCGGATCTACACGATTTGACGGGTATTATTTCACGAAGGAAATAATAGCCGGGGGGGATTAGTTCACCAAGGAAATAATCGCCCTTAATTCTCGGGATCAAAGGCCAAGCTTTGATCCGGAGTATGATCTCGTGTAGATCTCAGATCTGATCTCTCTCTCGAACTCCTGCCTTTTGTGACGTGGATGCTCGCCGGGAACCAGATCTGAATATCCAAGTCTTCAAGTCTTCAAAACTCTAAGCTCGATCTTCAATCCGGCAGAGTTTCGGCTCTCAAAGTTCCCCCCTTTTCAAATGAACCAATGGGGGCCTATTTATAGGCTCTCTGAACTGTGCCCACGCACAGACCCATGGGTGGCTCGGTCTTGACCGAGCCACCCATGGGTGGCTCGGCTTTGGCCGAGCCACCCTTAGGCGTTGGGTTTCGTCGTTTTGCGTTTTCGGTTGAGTTCGTGATTCGGTTGACTTAGACTCTGATTTGTTGATCTGATTTGGTAGTAAATCTGATTCCTGATTTGGCAGTAAATCCACTTCTGAGTTCGAGTCCGAAACTGATCTTGATTCGATCGTGATTCGTCCGAGTCCGCCCTTGGTTGGATGACTCGTTGACTCTTCAACCCTTGGCTTGATTCCACACGCGAAGTGGATCTATTCCGTTGTTTGCGTGCGATTCGTTAACCTCGTCGCCTCGTTGGTTCGTCGGTTTGTGCTGAGCTATGCTTTATACGCCTACAGATACCCCCTCCAAAGTATTTTAGCCTCGTTCTTTTATAGAAGAGTCTGGAATACTTTGGATATGATTATCCCAACCTTCAGTCGGTGTAACGGGACCTTGGAATGGCTTCTGTTCTTGATTCCTTCAATCCTCCAGGCTATTCGGTGCTTTGTCGAATGTCTGTAAGAGTTCTGGTGCTGCATTTATTGTCTGACCGTCTGGAATACTTTGGATATGATTATCCCAACCTTCAGTCGGTGTAACGGGACCTTGGAATGGCTTCTGTTCTTGATTCCTTCAATCCTCCAGGCTATTCGGTGCTTTGTCGAATGTCTGTAAGAGTTCTGGTGCTGCATTTATTGTCTGAC